CCAGCGTTTTGGGAGGCTGTGGTGGGTGGATCACCTGAGGTCAGGAGTTCAAGACCAGCCTGGCCAACATGGCAAAACCCCATCTCTACTAAAAATCCAAAAAGTTAGCTGGGCGTGGTGGCACATGCCTGTAATCCCAGTTACTCCAGAGGCTGAGGCAGGAGAATCGCTTGAACCAGGGAGGTGGAGGTTGCAGTGAGTGGAGATCATGCCACTATACTCCAGCCTGGCAACAGAGCAAGACTCTGTCTCAAAAAACAAACAAACAGACAGAAAGGAGTAATGCATCAGACCAAGTAGTTTTTATCCTCAGAATCTAAGATTGGTTTAACAATAAAAAAATCAATTAATTATTGTAATTCCCCATATTTATAGAATAAAGGAGAAAAGCAGTATCATTTCAGCAGATTAAGAATGAAGAAAAAGACTAACAAATTCAATACCCATTCATGATTTAAAAAAGCAATAAAAAAAAAACAAAACTCAGTCAACTAGGAAGAAAGGGGACTTCTCTGAAAAAGCAAAAACAAAGTATGATTGATTACAAGGCTGACATGGTGGCTCAGGCCTGTAATCCCAGCACTTCGAGAAGCTGAGGTGGGAGGATCACTTGAGCCCAAGAGTTTGAGACCAGCCTGAGCAACATAGCAAGATCTTGCCTCTATCAAAAATAAAAAAGTAGCTGGATGTGGTGGCACATGCCTGTAGTCTCAGCTACTTGGGAGGCTGATGTGAGATTTTCCCTTGAGCCTAGGAAGTAGAGGCTGCAGCGAGCTATGATCATGTCACCGCATTCTTTTATTTATTTAATTTATTTTTTTAAAGATGGGGTTTCACCATGTTGGTCAGGCTGTTCTTGAACTCCCGACCTCAGGTGATCTGCTCGCCTTGGCCTCCAAAGTGTTTGGATTACAGGCGTGAGCCACCACGCCCGGCCCATGTCACTGCATTCTAGCAACAGAATGAGACAACAGAATGAGACCCTTTCTAAAAAAAAAAAAAAAAAAAAAAAAAAAGAGAGAAGAAAAAGACTACAAGTTGGCTGGGTACGGCGGTTTACATCTGTAATCCCAATACTTTGGGAGGCCGAAGCGGGTGGATCGTGAGGTCAGGAGATTGAGACCATCCTGACCAACATGGTGAAACTCCATCTACTAAAAATACCAAAAAAAAAAAAAAAAAAATTAGCCAGGTGTGGTGGTGGGTGCCTGTGGTTCCAGCTACTCGGGAGGCTGAGGCACAAGATTTGCTTGAACCTCGGAGGCAGAGGTTGCAGTGAGACAAGATTGCGCCACTGCACACCAGCCTTGGTGACTGAGACTCCATCTCGAAAAACAAAAACAAAAACAAACAAAAAACTACAAGTTAAAAAGTGAAAAATAATTGAAAGTTTAATTATCAATATATATCAAACAACTAATTTGACCTTTTATTCAAATTGAATAGTAAAATGTATAGCGGTGGGAAGAATCTTATGAAACTTTTATACTAGTAGCTACCAATATTTCGCACTTGCTAAGAGCTCTATGAACGTTATCTTATTTAATCCTTATACAATCCCACAGAATAGGTACGATTTTTATTCCCATTTTACAGATGATGAAACTGAAGCTTAGGGAAGTCATATAAATTTCCCGCAGAAATACACCCAATAATTAGCAAGGCCAGTATTGGAATTGAAGATCTGTCTGCTTTACAATGTGTGTTTCTAAATATTGTTCAGGGCTGGGAGCAGTGGCTCATCCAATCATCCTTCAAAAAAGTCAAATCAAGAAATAGATACAAAGAATAATGCAGCTGCGCACGGTGGCTCACGCCTGTAACACCAGCACTTTGGGAGGCCAAGGTGGGCGTATCACCTGAGGTCAGGAGTTTGAGATCAGCCTGGCCAACATGGTGAATCCCCATCTCTACTAAAAATACAAAAAATTAGCGGGACGTGGTAGCGGGTACCTGTAATCCCAGCTACTCGGGAGACTGAGGCAGGAAAATCGCTTGAATCCCGGAGGTGGAGGTTGCAGTGAGCTAAGATCGAGCCATTGCACTGCAGCCTGGGCAACAAGAGTCAAACTCCATCTCAAAACAAAAAACAAAAAACAAAAAAAGAAACCTGTCAGTACCACTTCTCATTTGACCACTTTACCTTATACATTAGGTAGCTAAGTGACAAGCCACACTGATGCACGTTAATGGCAAAGCTGGGACTAGAACCCAGGTCTTCTGACTTTTCACACCCTGTTGTTTTCAGAAATGCTGTTACTTTCACATCTAATCCACCCCTTCCTTTTTATGACAACACACATTTTTTTTTTTCCTCCTTGGAAGCTCCAGACCTGGAATACTAGAGAAATAAATATAACTTACAGAGCCAGGGATCAAATTTTGTCTCCTACTCCGTTTAGCATTCAAAACCACTAAGCCACGGAGAAGACTGCCCACACTCAGAAAAGAGCATGTTAAAGCAGGACTGAGTGGAATTCTCTCTCGTAGAATGCAGATGGTGAGAAAAATATTGAAGGGAAAGGGAGGTAAAGAAAATTAGTGTTGGGGCTGGAGAACAGTGTATGGTATTCATCTTTCAGAAATTTGAAACTCTGGGAATTGTACAGGGGAGTCCGAGGGATGTAACTGCCTGGGAGGCCTCAAACTCGCCCTTTTGTGGATGAAGATCACGTCCCATCATTGTCACTCACAGCCACTGTGGTTTGATAGAGCTCCCTGGGAGGTGCTGGGAAGTGGTCCCAGGGCCATCAACACATAGGAGCTTTACCCTGCTTTCTGGGCAGGGTTTGGCAAAATTAAAAAGGAAGAAAAATTATTTATCGTCCACCCAGTGCGAATTAAGAAAAATGGTATGATCTGGATTTTAAGCAAGTCAGGAGGGAGTAGAAAAATTTTATCACCTTTTCCTTTGGCACAAGCTGATGGCCCCTAAGTGATGTCCTCACCCAGATGGACAGAAGCCCACTTTCCCTGGCAGGCACGCTTTGGGAGTTGCATCATTCCTGCTTCCTGCATATGCCAGGGAATGGACAGCAGGCATTCTGGGAGGGTAAGGGTTGAGCTGTGGAAAAGTATTGGGGAAAAAATGTAGTTCAGGAGTCAGAAAATAGTTCACAAATCTAAAACTCCATTCAGAGTTGCTTCTAAACACCATCATAGCACACATGTATATAATATTCACACGCAGCATGAAAAGTGGTAAGTTTTTTGTTTTCCTTCCCCAAATGGAATTCCTTTTCTTTCTTTCTTTTGAGATGGAGTGTCACTCTGTCGCCCAGGTTGGAGTGCTGTGGCATGATCTTGGCTTACTACAACCTCCGCCTCCCGGGTTCAAACTATTCTTCTGCCTTAGCCTCCTAAGTGGCTGAGATTACAGGCATGCACCAGCATGCCTGGCTAATTTTTGTATTTTTAGTAGAGATAGGGTCTCACTGTGTTGGCCAGGCTGGTCTTGAACTCCTGACCTCAAGTGATCCACCCACCTTGGCCTCCCATAGTGCTGGGATTACAGGTGTGAGCCACCATACCTGTCTGGATTTCAAAAATAATACCTGTCATTCCAAAATAGTACTTAGGTGATAATTTTTCTTTCTCCTCAAATCGTTTGAGGCAAAACGATTGTCTAGTGTTAGATCTTTTTCTCATCCCTCAAATATAATGAGCCTAGAAATTTCTCTTGGTCCATCAGTTCCATTGAGAAATATTTCCTGGTAGCCACTAAGATTAGAAAAAAATATAGAAAGACTATTTGGAAACAAATATTTTGACTGTTGGAGGGAATTTCTAACTCCTCTTTCTTTAATTTTATATATTTAAGATTAGAAGCAAAAACAAAAACAAAACAAAACAAAAGATTAGAAGCAAAGCAAAACAAACAAATGAACAATAATCAAAAATCAGGAAGTCCAAACCCAACCTTTTCCAAACTCTTAAATACTAGGTTTCAAAACACAGTGTGGAGGATGGTTACTTGAGTAGGTTTGGGTCACATTGGAGTCCAGACTCTGCCCTTAACTTAATTTCTTTCCCTTTCTTTCTTTCCTTTCCCTCCCTCCCTCCCTCCCTCCCTCCCTCCCTCCCTCCCTCTCTCTCTCTTTCTTTCTTTTTCTTTTCTTTCTCTTTCTTTCTTTTTTTTTTTTTTTTGAGACGGAGTTTTGCTCTTGTTACCCAGGCTGGAGTGCAATGGCGCGATCTCGGCTCACCGCAACCTCCGCCTCCTGGGTTCAGGCAATTCTCCTGCCTCAGCCTCCTGAGTAGCTGGGATTACAGGCACGCGCCACCGTGCCCAGCTAATTTTTGTATTTTTAGTAGAGATGGGGTTTCACCATATTGACTAGGATGGTCTTGATTTCTTGACCTCGTGATCCACCCACCTCAGCCTCCCAAAGTGCTGGGATTCCAGGCTTGAGCCACCGCAACTGGCCTCGCTTTCTTTCTTTCTTTTTTTTTTGAAATGGAGTTTTGCTCTTGTTGCCCAGGCTGGAATGCAATGGTGCAATCTTGGCTCACTGCAACCTCCATCTCCTGGGTTCGAGCAATTTTCCTGCCTCAGCCTCTAAAGTATCTGGGGTTACAGGCACCCACCCACCCAACTAATTTTTGTATTTTTAGTAGAAACGGGGTTTCACCATGTTGGTCAGGCTGGGTTCAAACTCCTGACCTCAGGTAATCCACCCTCCTTGGCTTCCCAAAGTGCTGGGATTACAGGCCTGAGCCACTGCTCCCGGACAAAATCCTTAATTTTTCTGAACCTAGTTTTCTCATCTATAAAATGAGCATTATAATAGTACCTTTTCACATGGCTGTCATAGGATTAAATACAATCTTGTTTAAAGCATGTACAAAATCTACCTTAGCTATTATAGTAAAGAGTACAAAAGTGAAAGGAAAGTAATAATCTTTGCAGGGGGATGGGGGGCATAAGGAGCAGAACTGAACCAAGTGCTGAGGCAGAATCTCTGCTCCACAAATAGTTTTTTTTTTTTTTTTTTTTTAAAAGCAAATTGCAGAACGATATGATTCCTATCTTCCTGCAGGCTGATTTAGTTGCATGCTGGGGCACATGGCTGGTGAGTGGGCAGCGGCCCTATTAAGGACCAAAAAAGGAATGATTACTATGGGGAACTGTCATGTATGGAAAGCTATTCAGAAGGTCCACATGGAGAGGGCTATTTCCTAGACCACAGTATCCCCAGTGTTCTCTATTTTTCTGTGCTCTGAGGTTATAACTTTTCCCTTTATTTTTGTCTCTCTCATTTTATTTTACATTTTATTTTACTTTATTTTTGAGACAGAGTCTTGCTCTGTCCCCCAGGCTGGAGTGCAGTGGTGCAGTCTTGGCCCACTGCAACCTCCACCTCCCAGGTTTAAGCTCTTCTCCTGCCTCAGCCTCCTGAGTATCTGGGATTACAGGTGCATGCCACCAAGCCCAGCTTATTTTTGTATTTTTAGTAGAGATGAAGTTTCACCATGTTGGCCAGGCTGGTCTTGAACTCCTGACCTCAAGCGATCCACCCACCTTGGCCTTCCAAAGTGTTAGGATTACAGGTGTAGCCACTGCATCTTGCCCTGTTTTTTAATTTTAATTTTATTTCATATATTTTTTGAGACAGGGTCTCACTCTGTGCCTAGGCTGGAGAGCAATGGTGCCATCTCAGCTCACTGCAACCTCTGCCTCCCAGGCTCAAGCGATTCTCCCACCTCAGCCTGGCAAGTAGGCATGCACCACCATACCCAGCTAATTTTTCTATTTTTTGGTAGAGGCAGGGTTTCACCATGTTGGCCAGGGTGGTCTCAAACCACTGACCTCAAGCTATCTGCCCGCCTTGGCCTCCCAAAGGCTGGGATTACAGGGGTGTGCCACCATGCCTGGAACTCTGAGATTATAACTGCCTGCCAAGGAATTCTAGAGTTGTCGGGATGACCTGGAGATCTGTTCAGGGAAAGACGGGAAGTTTATAATGATGTCGGTGTAGAATCTGCAGGCTCTAGTGACTGGAAATGAGGCTGGAAAAGGTTAATGGAGCAAAATCACAGACTCCTTGACCTGGCTGTAGTCAGGCTCCTCTGGGTCCTCCTTCTGTCTAGGCTCAACCTGGGGCTCTGTCTGGGCCCACTTACTTCAGTTTTATCAAGAATCCCTCTGAATGAGTTTAGTGAAATCCCCCTCTCTCGTCTGACCACTGTCAACATCTTCTTACCCTGGCTTCCTTTCAGCAGAAACCTTGTTAAGTCAGTTTAGTGAAGAGTTACCCTACTTGCTAGTGATTTTCCATCCACTGATTCCCCTGCCGTATTCCTTGGCTATAAATTTCCACTTTTCCTTATTATTCCTGAATTTGAGCCCCATGTCTCGCCCATACTACAAAACCCCATTGTTGTTGTAGCCACTACCATGATGGGGTTCAGAACATCCTACCCCAAAATATGCCACCTTGGCATATTGAATATTTTAAGCTGAAGAAATTTGAGAAACAGCAGGTGCAGGAAGGACTGTCTGACCTTCCCCCACAAGAAGGTCCTAAGCCCCTGAATGTGAGAGGCATCCTCCCTATGCCCAGAGGAAGGAGCATCCTTGTCTCTGAAGACAGGAACACCGAGAGGAATCTGAGTGGGCAGGCCTTGCTGTTTCCTCCAGCTTATTACCCTTAGATCATACCCCTTTCCCATGATTTTTCACTCTTCATCAAACCTAATAAAAACATGTCTAACCATTTTTATGGGGCTTCATTTCCATATGAAGGCTCTCATGTCACATAAAACTTACATTAAATAAATTTGTAGGCAGTGGCTCATGCCTATAATCCCAGCACTTTGGCAGGCCAAGGTGGGCAGATCACTTGAGGCCAGGAGTTTGAGACCAGCCTAGCCAACATGGTGAAAACCCATCTCTACTAAAAATACAAAAATTGGCCGGGCATGGTGGCACACACCTGTAATCCCAGCTACCTGGGAGGCTGAGGCATGAGAATGCTGGAACCTGAGAGGAGGTTACAGTAAGCTGTGATCATGCCACTGCACTCCAGCCTGGGCGACAGAGTAAGACTCAAAAAAAAAAAAATTGTATGCTTCTCTCTTATTAATCTGTCTTTTGTTACAGAGCCCCAGCAAAAGACCAAGAAGAGTAGAAGGAAAACATTTTTTTCTCTCCTATACTCCCCTGAATAGTGTATTTCTCACCATCTTTAGCAAGTATTATTGTTAATTTTTTCTTTCACAGTAGCATAATAAGGAGATTAAAATTTGTCCTCAGTGCTTAGGCAAAGAGGAGCCATCGAGTTTTTTATGCAAGGGCATTTTATGCTGAAATTTGTACTGTAGGCCAGATACAGTGGCCCATACTTGTAATCCCAGCACCTTGGGAGGCTGAGGCAGGTGGGGGGACACCACGTGAGGTCAGGAGTTTGAGACCAGCCTGACCAACATGGTGAAACCTCATTTCTACTAAAAATACAAAAAAGTAGCCCGACGTGGTGGTGCAGGTCTGTAGTCCCAGTTATTCAGGAGGCTTGAACCTGGGAGGCAGAGGTTGCAGTGAGCTGAGATTGTGCCACTGCACTCCAGCCTGGGCAACAGAGTGAGACTCTGTCTCAAAAAAACAAAAAAAGAAAAATTGCGCTCTAGCATGTGAGCTGGTCAGTGTGCCAGCCACTGTCACTGTCAGGAAAGCACTTGGCTTCATGGATCCCAGCTGTCATAAATCCAAGAGCAGCAATAAATAAATTAATGATTTTGATTCTGTGAATTGTTTTTTCCTTATTCACCTCAAGAACAACAAAATACCTGAGAAAATTGTCACATATCTTTGCAGTGTTTGTGCTGTTCTCAAAAGTTAAAAAAAAAGGGTGGGGGGACGGGACCCTGATTGACAGAGCCTATATACCGTGTATATATGTATATATTATCAAAGCTAAGGACTGATAATGTCCCAAGAGGGAACAGTGAAGAACAAAGTCCTGATTGAGGTGTCTCACAGATATTCCAGGAGTCCAGGCTAGGAACCGGGTTGAGTAAGGTAAGATAATTGCCTGTAGGTTTGCATTTCCCATGTAATACTTCGTTTTTTTTTTCTTTGTCCACAATGAGAACATTTTATTTTATTTTATTATTTTTGGAGACAGACTCTTACTCTGTCACCAGGCGCCAGGCTGGAGTGCAGTGGTACAACTTCAGCTCACTGCAACCTCCGCCTCCCAGGTTCAAGCAATTCTCCTGCCTCAGCCTCTAAATCTTCACCTGCTGTTTCTCAAATCTAAATCTAAACAGAAAATTAGCTCGGCTAATTTTCTGTGTTTTTACTAGAGACAGAGTTTGATTGTGTTAGCCAGGATGGTGTCGATCTCCTGACCTCATGATCCACCCACCTCGGCGTACCAAAGTGCTGGGACTACAGGCTGCGCCACCATGCCCAGCTAAGTTTTGTATTTTTAGTAGAGACGGGGTTTCACCATGTTGGTCAGGATGGTCTCCATCTCTTGACCTCGTGATCCACCTGCCTCAGCCTCCCAAAGTCCTGGGATTACAGGCCTGAGCCATGGCGCCCGGCTGAATAACGTTTTATTTAAATAAAAAGAATAATATTTCACTAGGCAATAAATCCAACATATTTCTTTTCTCTCCACAGCTACATCCAATGGTGATATTTTATAGGCTAATTTCTTTTTTTCTTGTTGTTGAGACAAAGTCTCGCTCTATGTCACCCAGGCTGAAGTGCAGTGGCGTGATCTTGGCTCACTGTAACCTCTGCCTCCTGGGTGCAAGCGATTCTCCTGCCTCAGCATCCTGAGTAGCTGGGACTACAGGTGCGTGCCACCATGCTCGGCTAATTTTCTGTGTTTTTACTAGAGACAGAGTTTGATTGTGTTAGCCAGGATGGTGTCGATCTCCTGACCTCATGATCCACCCACCTCGGCGTACCAAAGTGCTGGGATTACAGGCGTGAGCCACCATGCCCGGCCTTTTTAGGCTAATTTCTAAACAGATGCAAATTTTTACAGAGTGATGAAAGCCATGTTTTGCTCAGGAATACTATTGTTCACACACCATATAGGTTGTTTTATAGCAGATACTAAGTTTGCCAAGCTTCAGATGGCAAAAAGCTAAGTTGTGAATTCAGTATTTTCCAGCTAGTTTCTCCTTGCCCTAGTGACTCTGGCAGCATGTACTCTTGAGACACCTCTTATTGCTCCCACTTCCTTTCTTATAGTTGAATCCACTGTGGGAGAACATTCATGTCCTTAAGGTGCAAGTCCGAGCAAAAAGCCTCCCGCAAATCCACTGAATATCACAATAAATTGCTTGATACGTTCTGTTGCTTCTTCAATTAAATTGTTGAATTCAGGTGCCGTTTCGTTCACCTGTTTCTTAATGTGTCTTTTTGCTTTGTTTGAATCTTTTTCAACTCTCTTCCAGCCAATCTGCAGGTAGCCACTAGGACTAGCAATCTGAAGGAGAACAAAGCCACCACCTACTGCAGTTGCTGCGAGTTTTCGAACTTTTTGGAACAACAATCCTGCACACCGGCCAGTAACACCATCCATTCAATCTGGGTAGCTATCGAGCATTTTTTCTACCATAGGTCTCAAACTGTGGCCAAACACTAGATTCCACCACTGGTGTCTTCCTGCATACTCAGTTAAATCCTGTGCTTCATAAGCGTCATCACTTTCAGATTCTTGAGGAGGGGGTTTCTGGGTTGCCCTAATACTGCCGGCAGCCAGTTCTGGGGTCATCTCCCCCACCCTGCCCTTCTCTCCCTGGCACTTTAAGGGCTGCTGTAGGACAGATGGAAGTCTGTGGTCTCTCCAGTGTAATATTTCATGGGTGGAACCTAGTTGTTACTTTTAAGTAATACTTTTTATTTTAATTTCTAAATTAATTAATTATTTTTTGAGATGGAGTCTTATTCTGTCGCCCAGGCTGGCATGCAGTAGCATGATCTCGGCTCATTGCAATCTCCGCCTCCCAGGTTCAAGCGATCTCCTGCTTCAGCCTCCTGAGTAGCTGGGATTACAGGCACACACCACCCCGCCTGGCTGGTTTTTGTAGTTTTAGTAGAGATGAGATTTTACTATGTTGGCCAGGCTGGTCTTTAACTCCTCAGCTCGTGGGATCCGCCCACCTCAGCCTTCCAAGGCACCCCTCCACTTTGAACTTTCTGAAAGTATAACTTTAACTAGTAACTTACCATAAATGGAATCTTACTTATGGGGCTGGTTAATGGCATTTGGTTTTAGATGTGACAGGCTGCCAACATAGGCAAACAAGGTTTGTCCTCATTCCAAACTGGGTATGTAAACCTCCCATGTCCAGTTTCCTGAACCCTATATGTTTCCATTCCACCTTTCTCCTCTAGGACCCCAAATTAACCTTCCACAATGGAAGGCTGACTTTTCCTTGCAGACCTTTCTTAAAGCTTAAAAGTAGTATCAAATTCAGAAGGAGGAAGGGGGAGATGCGGAAGGAAAGAGGAGTAAGAGGCTGGTGGAGCCGGCAGGGTCCCAGAGGAGAGATGGCCATCTCCTAAGAATAAACAGTTTCACCAGAGGCCGAGCCTGGACCATCTGCTCGCTGTTTGCTTTGGACGGCGCTGGCCAAGAGGTCTCAGGATTAGGCTCTCCCCAGAGATGAGAGCTCCCCGGAGCCGGCTGCACGCTGCCTGCAGCTTGTCGCCTGGGGCTGCCCTGAGATTTCCGGAATTTTACAGAAAAGGGAAGCCTGAGCCTAAAACTTCTCTCAGAGGCGGCCACCCTGGCTGGGCCCAGCTCCTCCCAAACAAAGAACTCGGTTGGGCTCTCCGAAGCTGCTGGCTTCTGAGTGGCGGAAGGCGCCAGGCTCCGTGATTGAAACCACATGTGCTGGAGGTTTCAAGAGCGGCGACCCAGATGCCAGGGGACTGACTGCCGCTGCTTTTTACGTCTCCTTTGTCTTTGGGGTTTCCAAAGTCAGATCCTCTGACAGCCCTAGATCACCAGTATCCCAGCAGAAAGAGTAGTAATTTTATTTTATTTTTTAAAAGTTGATGAAAGAGCATTTCTCTCCTCCCTCCCCTAAACCGTAAAATGACCAGAAATCCCCAGGGCCTGGGATTGCCTCCTGCTTGCTAAGCAGGAGCAGGAGCTCTGTCCCAGGCTCCTCCAGCTCTGCCCCTGATTTCCTCGGATGAGACCGAAAGGAGGGATGAAGTTTATTTGTGAGGCGTGAGGCAAATTCCTTAAACTAGTGTAAGATACACATGAACTCTTCTTAAATTTAAAACTTTAAAAAGTTGCAGGACTAAGACATAAATACATTCTCATTATAAAACACATGAAACACTGAAAGGCCTTCCTTGACCTATTCCCATCATGCCTCCTCCCTTCCCCCAAGTAATTCCTGTTAAGAATTTTATGAAGATCCTTCTAGATCTTTCTCTAGTGCTTATGTGTACGTGTGTGTACATAGAGAAATACGAAACTTTATTTTATATTTAGCAATGACAGGATTTACTGTATGTATTGTTTGCAATTTATTGCACTTTTCTGGAGGTTTTAAAAATCTTTTCCTGCTGGTTGCAAGATCTACTTTCTAATGGCAGCTTATCCGCTATTTTGACCCAGAGTCCAAACCTACTAACATCCTCCCAGTTCCCACCTCCTGCCCGCCCCACCACCTTTTCCTACGGCATGGAGCTAAGAATAGTTCTAACATTTAAAAAAATTTATTGATGTATTTACTTGACATGAAGTCTCATTCTGTCACCCAGGCTGGAGTGTAATGGCACGATCTCGGCTCCTCCACCTCCTGGGTTCAAGCAACCTCCGCCTGCAACCTCCGCCTCCTGGGCTCAATCAAGCAATTCTCCTGTCTCAGCCTCCTGAATAGCTGGATTACAGGCGTGCACCACCATGCCTGGCTAATTTGTTATATTTTTAGTAGAGACCGGGTTTCACCCTATCGGCCAGGCTTGGTCTCAAACTCCGACCCCAGGTGATCCACCTGCCACGACTTCCCAAAGTTCTTCTATTAAACAGGCATGAGCCACTGTGTCCAGACTCTTCTAACATTTTTAAATGGTTGAAAAAAATTGAAAGAAAAGAGACTGTTTTCTGACATATCCATTGTATAAAATTTAAATTCTGTGTCTCTAAATAAGTTCTACTGGAACACAGCTACACTGATTCATTTATGTATGGTGTATGGTGCTTTCACACCACAGCAGCAGTGTTGCGTTCTTGTGACTGACATCGTCTGGTCCTTTGCAGAAAATCTTTACAAACCTCTGACCTACAGAATAGTTTCTCAATAGGAAAAAAGGTTCCTATTGGGTTGAAAACTATTCTGTAGCTCAGAGGTTTGTACAAGAAATGTTCAAAAGTTTATTGGGCTGTTAGATGTTAAAAATATAACAGAAGAAATAGGACGGGCCAGTGAGTTAGGGGCCTGGGTTCTGCAGCCGGTTCTGCTGTTTAGAAACCTGTATGGCCTTGAGCAATCAATTCTGTCTCTTTAGGCTCAGTTTCCACAGCTGCAATATGAAGGAATTGGGTTGGATCTCTAAGCTTTCGTGGGAACATTTAAAGATTCTAAAATAGATGGTAGAGAAGTACATAATAGATGCTGTCTGTCCCATGGCGATAAAAGGGTATTGGACTGGCTGTCCTCCAATTTATGTGAATGTGAATAGGTGGGCCATTAAGATTCAGAATAGGCATTGACTCCATGGTCAGAATATTACAGTTTGTTGTGTAGACATCTGAAGTACAGGAATAGCTGCTAGAATGAGAATGGAGAATACAAGGGCCAGTACGCCTCCTAGTTTGTTAGGGGTGGATTGTGATTGTGTAAGCAAACAGAAAGTACCACTCTGGCTTACTGTGGTGTAGGTGTTGAGTGGGGTTGGCTCTGGGTCGCTCAGAAGGTCAGGTGAAATAGTACTAGGATTATTAGGAGGGAAAAACTAAACCTAAAATATCTTTGATTGTATAGTAGGGATGGAAGATAAATTTGTCAGGGTCTGATGAAATCCCTGAAGGGTTATTAGATCCCGTTTCACGTAGGGATAAAAGGTAAACAGGAGGCCGGGCGCAGTGGCTCACGCATGTAATCCCAGCACTTTGGGAGGTCGAGGAGGGCGGATCACGAGATCAGGAGATCGAGACCATCCTGGCTAGCATGGTGAAACCGTGTCTCTTCTAAAAATACAAAGAAAAAAAAAATTAGCTAGGTGTGGTGGCATGCACCTGTAGTCCCAGCTACCTGGGAGGTTGAAGCAGGAGAATCGCTCGAACCCGGGAAGTGGAGGTTGCAGTGAGCTGAGATCACACCACTGCACTTCAGCCTGGGTGACAGAGTGAGACCTCGTCTCAAAGAAAAAAAAAAGGTGAACAGGAATAAAAGGTGAAATGCAAAAGGGATTCTTACATTTGTTGCTGCTGGTGATCAGTGTCAGAAGATAAGTTATCGTTATTTGGTGGAGGGAATCTTCTTCCAGATTACAGTGTGGGGTGGTGGCCTGGTATTTCTATTGTTCTTCTACTTGCCTCTGTTTTATACCTCCCCTCTACCCCCTGACTCTCACAGTGCCACACACAACCTTTGCCCAAAGCTTTCCTCTCTTCCTCTCTGCCAACTCTAGGCCAGGGCTCCTCAGCCTCAGCACTACTGACCTTTCTGGCTGTAAAGGACGTAATTCCTTGCTGCAGGGGCATTCTGTGCATTGTGAAATGTATATAGTACCATCCACTCTACAGTGGCCTCTACTCCCTACATGCTGGTTGCACCTACCCATAGCCCCTGATAAGGCTTAGATGTTTTGTCATCCCCAAATCTCATGTTGAAATATGACCTCCAGTGCTGGAGGTGGGCCTAGTGGGAGGTGTTTGGGTGATGGGGTGGATCCCTCATGAGTGTCTTGCTGCCCTCCCTGTGGTAGTGCGTGCTTGATCATCTGTTAATTAATGTGAGAGTGGGTTGTTTAAAGGAGCCTGGCATCCTCCACCTCTTGCTCCCTCTCTTGTCATGTGATATGCGGGCTCTCCCTCTGCCTTCTTTTAAGATTCTAAAATGGATGTAGAGAAGTATATAATAGATGCTATCTGTCTGATGGCAAGCTTTCCGAGGCCCTCGTTAGAAGCAGATGCCCAGCTCTACGCTTCATGTACAGCCTGCAGAGCCGTGAGCCAATAAACCTCTTTTCTTTCCAGTCTCAGGTATTCCTGTATAGCAATGCAAAATAGACTAACACAACCCTTCCTCCTTCCTCCGGTTGTGACAATCAAAAATGTTTTCAGATATTGCCAAATGTTTCCTGGGAAACAACATTGCCCCCACCTGAGAAGCACTGCTCTAAAGCTCGGTCTCTTTCTAAGCCCAAATCAAATTACCTGATTCTAGTTCACAATGGGCTCTTCTATCTGTGAATTGCTAAGGTGTTTACTGTTATATAGTAACTTTTTACTTCACCGTATAAACTTAATTAATTCATTATTTTTAATGATGTTTATGAAATGGCTTATACTGTCTTGTATTCATCACTTGCAGTGTACATATCTCAGCCCCCAAAACATAGTGATTTTTTTTTTTTTTTTTGAGATGGAGTCTTACTCTTGTTGCCCAGACTGGAGTGCAATGGCACAATCTCGGCTCACTGCAACCTCTGCCTGTTGGGTTCAAGCGATTCTCCTGCCTCAGCCTTCCAAAGTGCTGGGATTACAGGTGTAAATCACTGCCCCTGGCTGATCTAGCCAAAATTCTTCAAATTTGACCTTGATCCTACATGTTGGGAGTGGGGTAGCAGAGGCATTAGGAGATCCATTTGTCCAGGTATTGCTTTCAGATATACCACCAGGGGCTTGCCGTTGAAATGGAAGTTGTTGAAGCTGTTGAAATGTGAGCCTAAGATCAGGGGGGTTTCTACAGTGCCTGACAGAGAAGGTGGGAAACCTATAGTAGGTGGCTTTGATCTTACCATCCTATAGTCAAGCCCTAAGCGGGAGAAGGGGCACTTAGGAGTTACAGTGCAACATCTCCTAGGAAAAGTTGTGGAGAAGGTTCTTGTCTTCATGGAATCTCTTAAAACAGGCAGTCCTATTCCTAGACGGGAGCCCATGATTTCTTCTTGTCAGGCCAAAGTCCCATGTCTCATCTCTGATGTTCCTGCCTAGGTCCAGGAAGGGGCACTTCAAGAAGGCAATGGAAGCTCCTGACAACTTATTCACTGGGCCAAACCCCTCACCTATGTGGGGATACTGCAGAGTTCTGGGTGAGCTTATTTCCAGCCCCCACCCCCAATTATTTAGCCAGTTGCCTGAGGGCAGGAGCCACGTTTCACTGTCACTCTGTGTTCCATGGGACACTGGCCATGGAATCAGCACCCATGGACCTTAGTCATGAATTTTTCCCCTACAAGCTGAGTGACTGTTGCCAATCATTGTCCCTGACCCTCACTCCCTCGCTGCTTACCTATGTTATTTATTAGGATAATACCACTGTGGTGAACATACCCTAAGGTGGCTCCCATGATCCCCAACTCCTGATGTTTGTGCCTTTGGGTAATCACAGGCCCTTGAGGATGGGTAGACCTGTGACTTGCTTTCAAACAACAGAATATGGCCAAGATGATGGGTTGTCAATTCCATGATTATGTTAAATTGTCTAAAACAACCTTGCAGCAGACTGGAAGTAGATGTACTGCCAACCTTGAAGAAGTTAGCTATCATGTGAACCACCTATGGAGAGAGAACCACCCACGAGACAGTGACCTAAGGGTGGCCTCTGATCAATATCCAGCAGAGGACTGACCCTCTGTTCTACAACCAAAAAGAACTCAACACTGCTAACATTCATGTGGGTGTGGAAGCACATCCTTCCGCAGCTGAGCCTCCAGATGAGAACCCAGGCTTTGCTAACACCTTGATACAGTCTTGTGAGATTGAGATTCTTTTTTGTTTTTGAGACAGAGTCTCACTCTGTTGTCCAGGCTGGAGTGCAGTGGTGTGATCTCAGCTCACTGCAACCCCTACCTCCCAGGTCCAAGTGTTCCTCCTGCCTCAGCCTCCTGAGTAGCTGGGAATACAGGCACCTGCCACCGTGCCTGGCTAATTTTTGTATTTTCAGTAAAGACCAGGTTTCACCATGTTGGCCAGGCTGGTCTCAAACTCCTGGCCTCAAGTGATTCATCTGTCTCAGCCTCCCAAAGTGCTAGGATTACAGGCATGAACCACTGCACCCAGCAGCCTTGTGAGAGTCTAAGCAGAGGATCCTGCTAAACCATAGCTGGACTCCTAACCCACAGAGATGATGAAATAATAAGCGTGTGGTGTTTTAAGCTGCTAAATTTGTAGCCATCTGTTACATGGTAATAGGTAGTTGATACACCCACTTCTTTGGTTTGTGTTGAGGGCTTTGTAATCTGCAATACATTGTAGATGCATAGGACATTACTGGATCCAATATCTAACATAGTTCCGCCATACTGTACTCTCAATAAATATTTGGCCGGGCACGGTGGCTCACGCCTGTAATCCCAGCACTTTGGGAGGCCGAGGCGGGTGGGTCACGAGGTCAAGAGATGGAGACCATCCTGGTCAACATGGTGAAACCCCGTCTCTACTAAAGATACAAAAAATTAGCTGGGCATGGTGGCGTGTGCCTGTAATCCCAGCTACTCAGGAGGCTGAGGCAGGAGAATTGCCTGAACCCTGGAGGCAGAGGTTGCGGTGAGCCAAGATAGGGCCATTGCACTCCAGCCTGGGTAACGAGCGAAACTCCGCCTCAAAAATAAATAAATAAATAAATATTTGGGGATAATGATGATTTTTGGTAAACTGAGGTTAAATGGACATGAAGATGAGAATTGTGACAGAAAAGAAGTCATATAAAGCAGTAGACAGTTTTTTTGAAGTGCGGGGGATATCCTCTGCCTTGCAGATTTACGGGCTGATTGCATATGGACCTCAGGTACCAGCCGGTGGATCCCTTTCGACCCCATTCCTCGGATTGTATGGGTTTTGTCCTCATTTCACTGGCTGATTGTGTGTCAGGGGCCTGACTTTCCTGCTGTCCCGGCTTCTCAGACTTAAAGGCTCTAGTGCTGTATCAGCCACTTCATGGGGCAATGGAGCAACTGAAATGTGGCTAACTAGAATTGAAATGCACAGTAAATGTCAAACACCCACCAGATTTCAAAGACTCAGCACACTCAAAAGAGTGTAGAAGTCTTGTTAATAATTTTTACATTGATTACACTTTGAAAGAATATTTTGTATATTTAGGGTTCAAGGAAAATGTATGAAAGTTAATTTCCCCTGTTTCTCTTTGCTCTTTTGGACACAACTACTAAAAATTTTACATAACATGGGGGCTCGCGTTCTGTTTATTTCTATATTCTCTACTGGACTGCATTGCTGTAGAGTGCTAGTAAAGGGTCACCTTTGTGCTCTGATCTGTTTTCCTGCCAACCTCTGTGACTCACCGGTTGAGAACTACTGCCCAAGTTCTAGTTCTGGATCCCCAGAAACTGAAGTAAGAGGACACTCCTTTTACTTGCACGTCCCTGACTGTGTCAGTGTGTGCTCCATGAGTGGGTGGGTTTGGCTCTGTGACTGTTTTTTTTTGGGACGGGGAGTCTTGCCCTGTTGTGCAAGCTGGAGTGCAGTGGCAGGATCTGGGCTCACTGCAACCTCCACCTACCGGGTTCAAGCTATTCTCCTGCCTCAGCCTCCTGAGTAGCTGGGACTACAGGCGCCTGCCACCATGCTTGGCTAATACCTGGCTAATTTTTGTATTTTTAGTAGAGACGGGGTTTCACCATGTTGGCCAGGCAGGTCTTGAACTCCTGATTTCAGGTGATCTGCCCGCCTTGGCCTCCCAAAGTGCTGGGATTTCAGGTGTGAGTCACTGGGCCCGGCCTTGCTGCTGGTTTTAATGTGCTGACTGAGCTGTGCTTCTCACCGTGTAAGGCAGAATAGTCTTGCACTTCCTTGCCTTAGTGAGCTTGATGAGTGCACTAGGAAATCAGATGGTGTCCTAGTGCCATCTGCCACTTTTCATATCCCCTCCTGCTCTTCAGCTCCCACCTATAGCCCTTCCTGCAAGGAAAGGTCCATTACACCAGCAGGTGGGGTCTGGGCCTCTGCAGGTAACTCCCAGCTGCTCATTAAGGCTGCCTGGGGGCTCAGGGTAGGGCAGGGCCAGCTGTGTGCATCATGACTGCTCAGAAGAGAGGCTTTTGGGCACGCCTACCAGCATCATTTCCTCTCAGTTATAATAATGATGCTGAAAATTGTGTCAGATTAGCCATTCAAAAAGGTTTAAGGATCTGGGGCTGTGCCTCTTGTATCGCTTAGCGGATTGAATGGGGCTACTTCCTTCTTACTGAGAACCAGCGAGTCATGTTTGATCCCTCTCTCTTCCTTTGCTTTACATGCAGCCAGCCCTGGTTCTATATATTCAAGCTTTTGAATACCGTTGACTCTGACCTTTCTCTATCCCTGTTATCCTGCTTAATGCAAACTCTCACATCTTTGTGTAAAATGGACTATTTACCTTCAGTTTTATATTTTCCAGTGCATTCACTATGTTTTCTAAAATGTCATCTTTTTTTTTCAAGTTCAACTTCAAATTTAGTGTGGGAGAAAGACCCTTGGAAATATGACTTTGCTTGGCAGTCCAACCTCATCCCATGTAGCTGTTCCATTGCCATGCTCTGTTCTAGCCTCACTGAGCTGCCTCTGTTCTACACATGAACCACCACACAATTATCTTTGCATTCACTATTTTCTCTACCTGGAGCAACCTGTCCTACTCTTTTATCCTGCCTGTGGCCCCCAAGGTCTACCTTTCACTGGCCCCATGAGACTCAGAGGTCACATCCTCCGAGCCTTTCTTTTTTATAAAATTAAAAAATAGTTTTTTCTTTACAGATGGGATCTCACTGTATTGCCCAGACTGGTCTTGAACTGTTGTGCTCAATTGATCCTCCTGCTTCAGCCTCCCAAAGTGCTAGGATTACAGGTGTGAGCCACTGTGCCCAGCAGTGAGCCTTTCTTGACTGCCCTTTCTCTGGATTCCATAGCAGGCCTGCAACCTAGCATGGTGTATTGTGATGTCTCTCTCACTAGACCGTCAGTGCCTGGAGGGTCAGGACCATGTCCTTGGCTGCATCGGCAGCATCTTGTGCAGTGCTGGATACAGAGTAGGCACTCAAGAAAACAGTTGTTGAGGAACTGAACGGAGGTAATGAAACTTTCCTTAGTGGTTAAAGACACTGACTTTTTTTTTTGAGATAGGGTCTTGTTCTGTTGCCCAGGCTGGATCAGTGGTGTGATCATGGCTCACTGCAGCCTGGAATTGCTGGCCTCAAGAGATCCTCCCACCTTGGTCTTCCGAAGTACTGGAATTATAAGCATGAGCCACTGTGCATGGCTTAGACACTGACTTTGGAGCCAGACTGTGTAAATTCACATCTCAGTTCTGCAGCTTACCTAGATGCAAGTTACTTGATCTTTCCATTCCTAAACATCCCCATCTATAAAACAGGGATACTAATAGTACACAACCTCATGAGTTGGTGGTGACAATTACGTAAGTTAATATGTGTAGGGCACATAGAATAGTTCCTGGCTGTTTTAAGTGCTATGTAAGTGTAGCTGTTATGTTTAGGGCCACAGGGCTTCTAAGTGGCTTTCAAAGCTGGCATTTAGTTTAGGTCTTTCTGACCTCAAAGCTTATGCTGTTTACACTATGCCCTGCTATCATAGATTTGTCTGAACTCTGCACAAGGGCATCTGGATGGAATCTGAAGAGAAGGGGAGAAGAGTATCAGTCGTCTGCAGTTCTGACAGCATAAAGCTTAGCATGCAAGGATGTACCTGCCTATGACAAGAGAATGAGGACAAAATACAACCCTATGAATAGAAATAGCCTAAATTTACATGTCCACAAAATAAGCGATTCCTGTTCTACTTTTCCACATACTAGTCACAGATCATTTCCTGACTTGGATTAGCAGATAGGAAGGGTATTGGATGCCTAAGGTTGTTTCCCTGGACATTGGGAATCTTTACCTCCAGACTTCAGACCTTCTAAGAGATGAACAGATTCTCCCTTAAAGAACTTCAGGTCTGAATGCCAAACCCCCAAACTTCTACCCTCATCTCTTAGAAGCCCCATCTGTACCTGCCCGACATTTACAGTGGGAAGCTAGTCAATTGCACGCATGGCCCAGGTTCTAGTCATTACTAAGAAATATATATTAGCAAGACTTCTTCAACAACTTACTGCCTCTGTTATATTTCTTTTTTCAAATTCATTCCTCCCTCCCTCCCTCCCTCCCTCCCTCCCTCCCTCCCTCCCTCCCTTCCTTCCTTCCTTCCTTCCTTTCTTCCTTCCTTTCCTTCCTCCCTCCCTCCCTTCTTTCTTTCTTTCTCTTCCTTCTTTCCTTTCTTCCTTTTTTCTTTCTTTCCTTCCTTCCTTCTTTCTTTCTTTCTTTTTTCTGTCTTTCTTCTTTCTTTTTTCTTTTCTTTTCTTTTCTTTCTGATGGAGTCTTTCTCTGTTGCCCAGGCTGAATCTCTGCTCACTGCAACCTCTGCCTCCCGGGTTCAAATAATTATCCTGCCTCCCAGTAGCTGGGACTACATGCATGTGCCACCACGCCCAGCTAATTTTGTATTTTTACTAGAGACAGGGTTTCTCCATGTTGGTCAGACTGGTCTTGAACTCCTGACCTTGTAATCAGCCTGCCTCGGCCTCCCAAAGTGCTGGGATTACGGGCATGAGCCACCGCGCCCGGCCACCTCGGTTATAGTTCATAAAGATTGAGATTGAGTGTGTGCCTAATGTTTTAGCTTCTTCTAGAAACATCAGGCTCTCTTAGAAGGGCACACTGAATGCTACTTCCACCCTGTCATGGCTACATCCTTACAGAGAGTTCACTCATTGCTTTCCAAGACAGGAATTAGAATTTGTTTTCTATTTAGTCAAACCGTGGGCTCAAACGAAGAAAGATGGGCTGGGATGTGGTGAGGAGTGGGTAAAATATCAAAGGCCTTGAATTTTCAGGAAGCAGGTATCTAAATTAGACCACCAGAGGAGATGCCTGGAAAGTACAAGCCACATGTTCGTCTGCAGAGCCCACTGAGCCACGATAAGAAAGTGTTTACAGAATCTAGGAAGAGGTAGAAAAGAATTCTTCCCTAGAGCCTTCAGAGGAAACACCACTCTGCTGTTCCTTGATTTCAGACTTCTGGCCTCCAGCACTGTGACAGAATATATTTCTGTTGTCTGAGGCCACCCAGGTTGCGGTGATTTATTGCAGCAGCCTTGGGAAACTGGTACATTTTTATATCTGAAAGTCCAGAGGTTTCTGGTTTTAGGCATGGCTAGATGCAGGTGTTTATACTTACCATGTCATCGGATATATAGTAGTCACCATCTCTGGGTTCTGTTTATCTTGGAGTTTATTTCATTTCAGGTTAGCTCTTCCGAGGGGAGCAAAATGGCCCCAGAATATAAACTCCAGGCTTACCTTTGATCAGTTTAATTGTAAAAAGCCTAGGTTTGGTCAATCTTGAGTCCTGTGTCCATTGCTGAACTAGTTCCTGCCACCATAACCATGGAGTGCTGTAACTGGTGAGGCCTCAGACCTTTGTGTATCCCTGGAACTTGGAATAAGTGGGGGAAATGGGAGAGGAGAGGTTCCTAAAGGGAAAAGAGGTCCTCAAAAAAAATTTTTTTTTTTTTAAGGCAGAGTCTCACTCTATTGTCCAGGCTAGAGTGCAGTGACACAATGTGAGCTCACTGCAACCTCCGCTTCCCAGGTTCAAATGATTCTCCTGCCTCCTAAGTAGCTGGGATTACAGGTGCTTGCTACCACACCTGGCTACTTTTTGTATTTTTGGTAGAGACAGGCTTTTACCGTGTTGGCCAGGCTGGTCTTCAATTCCTGACCTCAGGTGATCCTCCCGTCTCAGCCTCCCAAAGTGCTGGGATTACAGGCATGAACCACTGGGCCTGGCCTCTCGAAGATTTCTCAGAAGGAAACCCGAAGGGAGGAGAAAGTAGGAGAGATGTTATTATCAGAAGTAGTTGGAAAAAATGCTACACAGAGAACATACACACACAGACACACACACACACACACACACACACACACACCCCGGGATTAGATCACAGAGGGCTGTGAGTGACAAGGGAGCTAGAAAGGCTTGAGAACAACAGACTAAGAAGTGAGAATTTTAGTTACTGGGAGTTCCAAGGATGGTCTTCCATAATCAGAAAGATGTGGGGGTTTGATACAGGGGCAGGTTAAATGAGGAAGATGAAAGAAAGAAAGAAGAAAGAAAGAGGAAAGAAAGGGAAAGAAAGGAAAGAGGAAAGAAAGAAGGAAAGAAAAAGAAAGGTGTGGGGAGAAGGTGGCTTGGTGATAGATTACCTTCCCACCCTCTCACAAATTCTGGAAGTCATAACTTCTTTCTTTTCGCAGCAGCAGTGCTACCCAGGTGGGTCCTAGTTGGAAGGTCAACTTTCAGTAGTAAATAATGGCTCCAGGAGGCTATCATAGCAACCCTGACAGGGGGTAGAAAGGGTCTAAATGGGGAAAGCCTTAACGATGAAACCCTTAACTTCATCATTACCAATTCTATGAATGGAACAAAAACTTACGTGTACCCTATAAATATTTAGAATATTTTATATCAATTAAAAAGAAAGGACCTGGAAGAAAAAGAATGTGATGTTTAGCTTCTCAAAGCCTTCATACTTTTCCTGCATGCATAAGAACGGGATTTTCTCAGTGTAGAAAGGGCATGAGCCAGGCCAGGTGCAGTGGCTCACACCTGTAATCCCAGCAATTTGGGAAGCCAAGGTGGGCAGATCACCTGAGGTCAGGAGTTTGAGACCAGCCTGACCAACATGATGAAATGCCATTTCTACAAAAATTACAAAAATTTGCTGGTATGGTTGCAGGTACCTATAATCCAAGCTACTCAGGAGGTTGAAGTGAGAGAATCGCTTGAACCTGGGAGGCAGAGGTTGCGGTGAACCGAGATCCCACCTTTGCACTCCAGCCTGGGCAACAAGAGCAAAACTCTGTCTCCAAAAACAAAAACGAAAACAAACAAACAAACAAAACCAGACTGTCTGTTACCTGACTTTGTAGCTCTCACAATACTTATTCAAACAAACTGATAAGGAGTCCCTGATGGCAGTTCTATACGGGGTGTTGGGGTGGGGATAAAAGAACAGTAGGTCAAGTGACTCCAGGCCACCTGGACTTCTTGATAGACACGTTATGAAGAGTACCAAGTCAGCCTAGGGTTTTGGGGTCTTTCCATCTTTTCTTCCTTTTCTTTTCTTTTTTTTTTTTTTTGAGACAGAGGCTCACTTCGTCACCCAGGCTGGAGTGCAGTTGTGTGATCTCGGCTCACTGCAACCTCTGCTTCCCGGGTTCAAGCGATTATTCTGCCTCAACCTCCCAAGTAGCTGGAATTACAGGAGAGCACCACCGCTCCTGGCGCATTAGAGACAGGGTTTCCCCAAGTTGGTCAGGCTGATCTTGAACTCCTGGCCTCAAGTGATCCACCCACCTCAGCCTCCCAAAGTGCTGGGATTGCAGGCGTGAACCACACTGCAGCTGGCCTGGGTCTTTCCATCTTATCTCACTACTTTTCTGATACTGCCAGACTTTGTTCATTCAACAGGTGTTTTGGTGGCTCCTGGTTTTTTTGCTTTGGTTTTTTTTTTTTTTTTTTTTTAATGCCAAATTGCAGGGTCTTTATTGCTGGTGGCCACGGAGGACTCATGTCTCTCCAACCCGTGGCCCTGAAAGGAGGGTGTCAAGACCTTTTATACCCGTAAAACCACCTCAGGAGTGAGGGTAAGGGGCAGGGGTCGGAGTGAGGGCCTTCAGACGTTCTGAGGGCTAGTGGATTCTGTAAATCACCTCCTGGGCGGAGATGAGGGTGAGGGGCTCCAGACTCTCTGAGGGCCAGGGGACTTTTTGACATTCTGATTGTTACTTAAGTGGTTCACAAAAGTCAAGTTTACACATTGTCTGGGTAGGGTGGAAATTACACATTGTTAGCATTTGTTTACATGTTGTCTGGGTAGGGTGGAAATTACAGTCCTTAATGACTTATTCACATTTGGGTTATAGAAAGCAGTTTCAACAGAAAGCCGAGGTATGGTTGAGGTATCCAGTTTTATGGGGCTTTTACCATGTCACTTTCCCCCCTTGTTTTATCTACAGGAATTAAATCATTGATTCCTCCAACAGGTTAGTACTGTTTGTTGGCTCCTGTTATGTGCCGAGCAGTGACGTGGGAGTGGCAGTAGGAAAGATGACTGAAAGCTTACGGGAAAGGACATCTGGAGCGCTACTGGAGCAGCACCATAGAGAGGGAACCATTGGTTTCTGCCTAGAAACCTATTCTGTAGAACAAGTTATTTCAGTCATCTTTGCCATTTCCCTGGCAGTTCCCTATGATAAAGTCCACATGTGGAAAAGGCTGTCACCTGAAGTGACCTGGTATTCAATCCTGGCTTTAAGTTTCTGGGTCTTTCAGGATGCATTTACCTGATGGCTCATGGAGCTGTCCTGGGGATACCTGTAGAGCCACTGGCACTTGTCCTTAAGGTCTTAGGCTCTGCTATTTATGCTCACTCATTCACCTGCCCATTCATTCATTCATTCCAAAGGTTTTCATTGAGCTTCTAACTACAGAAGCATTTTGCTGGGTATTAGGTATACAAAAATGAATATAATGCTGTACTGCCACTTTTCCAGTGGAGGAACTCATACTCTAGTGGGGAGACAATATATGAATATGTGATTACAGGGTACCTGTGAAAGATGTGGGAACAGAGCTGCACCTTCTTCCTGTTCCTGCTTAGCAAAGGCAGGGAAGAATCTGACCAATGAATTCATGCTGAGATATGAGTTCTGATAGGAACCAAATGCATTACCCTTCCAGGGGCCTTTTTGCTTATTTCATCGCATGTTCGTTTTTAGCATGTTTGTTAACCAAGCCAACATCTTATGTCTGTTGAAATGTCTCTAGTTCTAGTACCAGTCCCCTAATCTGGCTTTATCACTTCACTCCTGTTCTAATTTTGAATAGCTCCATGCCTCCTTCCTCTTCCCTCTCTAGAGCATTCTTCACAAGCTTGTCAGATGAATTTGCCTATAGCACAGTTCTGATTGCAACCCTTGAATCTGCTGGTAAGCAATTTAAACTCTCTCCCCCTCAATTTCCTATAATAATCATTATAGAATGATTCAAATGATGCCCTGATGATTTCACTGAGTATTTGCAGTGATGAAACTGAGATCGTTTATGAAAAATCTTAATAATTATAAGGAGCTAT